CCCCCACAACCAATTGCAATTAAATGGAAAAGATATTCAAACTTTTTAGTTTTGACTTGAAATCCCCCTTGGTAGGAATCACAATAGAGCGGGGCGGGTTTTAGGCCACACGGAACAGAGTGCGTCAGTCTCTAAGCGGTACAGAGGAAAATCATTATTTAAAATTGAGGAAAATGACTGACATTCCACATTAATTGTGTTATCCTAGCCACGTCTTTTTATCGACACACTTCATCTTCACCCCAATCGCATAGTCCCATCCCGAGCATCTACACCCCTACCCCACACTCCAACATTTTATATTATTTATCTAAATTATATATAAATATTTTTAGGTTAATATTTTCGTGTTCACGTATCGAACACAAGAAAACCTCTCACTAGTCACGACCCTCATACTGAAAAGATCGTGTAACCTAAATCATTCATGATTATGCTTTTTTCTTTATTAGTCCACAAAAACAAGTAATATAATCATGATATATTCTTGAGAAAGACTTTATGTTAGATAATTTAATGTTAAAGAAAATAGTTCATCTGCTCCACCAATGAATATATATGAAGTTCTTTTATCCTGAAAAAAGATGAAAGGGGAAGATTAGACATTTTTAATGGCATATTAGTTAAATGTTTATGTTAATTATTATATGACCAAAAAAGGATTGGTGCACAAATTGACCTGTCCTTGTGGGTCTAATCTAATTTCTACATAATTAGTCCTTGGCTTACCAAGTCAAAATGCATTTAATTATATTCGTTCAACAATATTTAAGCTTTTGTGTTTCCCTATTTTTTAAAATTCTTTTTGCTAAATGATTGGTGAAGAAAGAAAAAGTTATATGTATCAGAGAAAGAAGATCTTTAGTTAAATTGGACAAAATGTCGAAAGTAGTTATTTAATTAGTGTGAAAGTCTTAAAATACTAACTAATTAATGTTACAATTAACAACTTTTTCCCCCTATTCGGTGTTATACTCATATTGGAATTCGGCTAAATTTAGATTCACACCGATAAATTCCACATTGGGGTAAAATGCTTCTTAATAAAGGTGACTCCGTACTCAGGAGAACTCGAACTCAAGACCATATTAAGAATAAACGAGTACTTATCATTCCACCACAATCTTTGATGGTTACAAATAACAACATATTGGTAAGTGTAGCTGGTTAGGAGCTAAGTTATTCATATATTAAATTTTGCATAAATAATACCATGCTTGATAACATCTTTTTTTTTCTTGCAATATATAAAATTCAACACAACTAATATGATGTTTGGTTTGCAATTAAGAAACCTACATAACTAACACATGATGAATTACAAAAAATCTAACTAAATCTTACATAACTAATTTCTGCACAAAAATAATACGTAGTAACATAAATTTCTTCATAACTAATCTTTATATCATTAATATCTATATAACTCTGACCAACTACCAAACGATCGGTAATTGATTGAATGATGCAACCTATCTAGTCAAACTTGAATGATGAGTTACTAATTTATAAGGCCTTTTTCATGAGTAGGATATATTAGTTATAGTGCCAGTTGAAGGAACAATTTTCTGGTGGGAGAGGGACAGTTATTTATATGAAAGTATGTAAACAAAAAAACTTTATTTAAAAAGATTGAAAATTGATTAGATATTATCAACATCATGGAGTGAAGTCTTCTTGGATGTCATGTCTATGTGGGCTCAAAATTTTGAGGGTCACATTTTTATTAAAAAACCAAGATTTGAAGAAATTAGAATATGAAATTATCTGTTGTTGAAATTTTTTGACCACATAATAAGCAAAATACATATACAAAAATAATATTGTTACAATCTCAGCTCTTTGGGTGAACATTTTATGATAGAGCTCTTTGTAGTAATCTGTTTACTGTGCAATAGATTGTAAACCATATAAAAAATGCAAATTACATTAAACAAACCCATACATCGAGCTCATAACTGAATAGTAGACGCGACGGAGACCCACAAAGAAGGAGAGTATGAACAATAAACGTACCTTAGATTCTGTATTCCACTGATTGTTCATGACAAAAAAGAAGGTTAAAAGATTAAAATTCAATGAACCTGTCATATTCTGAGTTGTTCTGTCACCCTATCTTCTATTTTTTTTTAAAAATAAACAAATTGCAACAACTTGATGTGGAGTACCATTTTTGGGCCAAAAAACAGATGGCAAGGTAGTGTTTGACCAAAGTAAATCATATATTGATAATTTATCTTCAAGTATCTACTTGATCATAGATTTTGAAAAAGAGTTTTTGTAAAAAATTCAAGTTTCAAAAACTCATCGATACCAATTTTTAGGTCCTTAGGACTTTTTTTTTTATTTTCTTCTAGTGCTCGATACTCATTTAGAGTCTGATTAATTCAAATTCGCATTGCGTAGGACCACATTCTGGGGAGGGGGGTCTTTAGGACTTATACTTACAAAAGTTCAATTTTTTTCTAAGTAAAATGTATGTTCAAATACGACTTCAAATTCTAAAAACCAGAACTTCAAAAGTCAAGTTTCAATTTAAAAATTTATGATCAAACGATAGCTTATTAACCTCTTGTTTGAAGCCTTCAACCGTTTCTTGGATTATCAGATTTTTCAGGGGTTTATTATTTAGATTTCGGATGCTTTTTAAGGGCCATCCTTTATTTGTGATATAAATTGGATTCATTTTAAAGTGCCACTAACTACTAGAAAATGTGAATCTTTGATGGAATTTATCGAAAATTAATTTGTTGGCAACATTTTAAATAAAATTTTCATCACATTCTAACAAAAACGTTCATCGAACTTTCACATTTTTAGTAATTAGTAGTTAAATGTCATGTCGAGATAGATATTGCAATTGCCTCCAACTTTTTCATTCTTATCGGCCGTAAGATAGGAATTTAATTTGGTCATTTAATCCTTTACATTTGCGTGACAATTTCTTGAAAAAATATCACTTTTAATTTTCTTTAATAACGCTATTTATGAAATTTTCTCAATAAAAAATGCAACGCCAAATTCAACTGCTCTTTTTTGGAAAAATTACCTAAATACACATCTTATTTTACCATAATCTCTAAAATTCCCTACCATTTAAAAATATTTCAAAAATTCCCTCTCGGATACATCACTCTCCTCTCGCTGATACATCCCTATCCCTCTCATATACATCCCTGCACTCTCTGATACATCTCTCACCTATAACACTATGTTATTAATGTAAGTTATACCCTTTTTTTGGCATATGGCCTTGTAAAGGTTAAACGATCCAACTCTCTCTAGCCCAATTTTTAATGAGGCTTTAAGCCCATTTCTTTTCTTTTATCCATTTTAAGACAAATCATTTTGCCTGATTTACACATATGTCCATTTTAGACTATCATTTAAAATTTGTCTAATTTTTAAAACTTGGTCAAATAAGTTTTTGAAAAATTATCCTTCCAGACCGATAGGCGATAGCATAGAATATCGACTACGTATGCAATAACGAATACAGTTTTTAATCGTTGTCTAATATTTTCTCATAAGATTATCAATTTTTTTAAAAGAGACTTTAAGATCTTGGTCTAAAGGATTCATAAGTCGCAAAGAAAAATTTTAAAAAAATATTATTAAAAAAAAAGGCTATCGATCGAAGATTTCAGTGTCAATTATCCAACTCTTTTCGGTATATGGCCCAATCAAGCAATTAACTCTAAACTATGTAGGAGCCCAATCTTCAATTGTGGCTTAAGCCCACTTCTTTTGTCCATTTTAAAGACTTGTATAACCTCAATATAAAAAAATTAAAGTTTCAATATTTATCGTACCATGTTCATCGAACCACCCTTAATTTCAACTGAAAAATATAATAGTAACAAAATTGAGTTTTTTCTATTGAGTAATTTTTTTTTTATATAGAAACAACAACTAGGTTAAAAACAAAGGCTGAAGTAGAAGGTCGAGAGCAAGACTTTTCTGCAGTAAATGTAAATAAATTAGAAGACCTGTTTTAGAAACTGAATAAATTGTTTACTAAAATAAAGAAAGGAAAAAAATCAAACTTTCTTATTAATTTAGTTATTAAAAATCAGTAATAACTAATAAATCATTCCAACCAAAAATAAATGGACTTCTTTGCCCAACTATTAAATCCTTGAGAATACATTAATGTTGGTGACAAATAAAAGAAACAAGTCCTTGAAAGTTAAATGCTACAAATGTCCGTACAAATATATATATTTTAAATAATTTTACTCAATAGGAGATATAGTTACCCCCTAAACCAAAAATGTATTGTAATATTTTTTTATTTACAATATTATCAGTGGATTTAATGGTAAAATTGCGTCTTTTTGGTAAGTAATCATGAAAAGGCCAAAAAGAGATCATGCATAAATCCAAAAATGGAAATAAGTCCAAAAAAGAGGTAAACACATTAAATTTAGCAAAAAAGGTACCTTGACTGTATCATTTTACTAAAATCAAATATTTAAACCCCATTTCATTTATATATAATCTTGGGTTTTCAGAGAGATTAGAGCAAATTAAAAAAAAAATGGTTACATTAGCTTATGCAATTTTTGGTTTGTGTTTTCTAGTATTCTTTAGCATAGCTAATGCTAAATATTATCATTCACAATTGAAGTATTTTAATGTGAAGGATTATGGTGCTGTTGCTGATGACAAGAGAGATAATAGTCAGGTTTGTGTTTCTTGTTTGTATCGATTTTTGCAACTCATTAGTATTTGATTTTAAGCCACTAATTTTATTGAGACGTTCTTGCTACAGGCATTCCTGAGGGCGTGGTACGATGGTTGTAGGTGGGGAGGAAGGAGTGTGATTTATATTCCATATGGAACTTATAAATTGAGAGAAGTTTCATTTGAAGGTCCATGTAATGGCATGATGATATTTGTAATAAAAGGTGTTTTAAAAGCTCCAACACATATATCATTGTTTAGTACAAATACATGGATTGGTTTTCGTTACATAGATAGGCTAGTTGTTAAAGGTGGTGGCTATTTGGATGGACAAGGTGCTGCTGCTTGGCCATATAATGATTGTTCAAAAAACCCAAAATGCATGCCTCTTCCTGTGGTAAGTTTTCCCCTTTTCAATTGTTTCGTAGAGTTATCTGATATCTGTGTTTGAAGATAGTGGGTACTTTCTAGAATTCATCCAAACACTCACACACTTGTTAGTGGATACTTCATAGAATTTATCGCTGTGTTTGAAGATAGTGGGTACTTTCTAGAATTCATCCAAACACTCACACACTTGTTAGTGGATACTTCATAGAATTAATCGAAACACTCACAAGTTTGTTTGTAGATACTTCGTAAAATTAATCGAAACACTCACAAGTTTGTTAGTAGATACTTCGTAGAATTAATCGAAACACTTACAAGTTTATTAGTGAATATTTTGTAGAATTAATTGAAACACTCGCAAGCTTGTCAGTGGACATTTCATAGAATTAATCGGAACAGTCAGTCAAAAAAAATTCATCATTTTTTTATTTTCCTTGAAATAATTGAAAGTATATTTCTTAGTTCCATTTAGCTCTGGAGCTGATTGTTAATAGTGTGTTTGATAATTAGTTTTAAGTGCTGAAAATTGAAATTAGTTTTATAAATAAGCTTTTTTTATATACAAAAAGTTATAAATTAAAAGTTTCCTTGTAAAGAAAAAGATGAACGATGGATATGGACAAGAAAGGAAAGGAAATTAGTTTTTGAAAAAGATATTTCGAGAATTAAATAAAATATTAAGAATAAAATAGTAGTAAATTTTTTTATCAAAATTAAAAGTGTTTATAAGTTAGGGATGACCAACTTATGTCTTTTGACTGATTTTGACTTATAAATACGTTATGTATTTATCAAACTTATAAATAAATTTTGATCAATTTATAAGCTTAGTCAAATATCGTCACAATCTTAAAATTGAAAATTATGTCTACTCTTACTTAATATCAAATGATATTTTAGAGTGTTTGACCAGTGTGAAGTCATTAAATCAATTTATTTTTTTCTCCTTAAATTTAGTTTACCTTGTTAGGACTTAAGATCTTCTTGTAATTGCAATTCTACAAAATCCCACTAAACATGCTACTACATGATTATGTTTCTTATTTCATAAGTGTTTTTTAAGGTAAGGTTATAAACTAAACATGGTATTTAATGATTATGCTTCTTATTATGAAAGTGTTTTAAGGTAAAGTACTAATTACTAGTACTAGTAATAGAATTTTCATACGAAGTGAAACTTGAGAATATAAAATTAGTCACAGGAACACTTTATTTGACCACGACTCAATAACAACAACAACATCCAGTGTAATTTCACAAAGTAGGGTCTAAAGAGGGTAGCGTATATACAAACCTTCCTAGTTCCCATCATCTTAGAGGTAAAGAGACTGTTTCCGATAAATCCTTAGTTCTAAAAAAACAGTCCAAAATTGTAAAAGAAGGAAATAACGGAAATGAAGAAAATTTAGTGTATAATAACTATAGGTTCTCTTACCCCAACACAATTGATGACCCACCCTACCAAAAAAATACAAATAATAACATTTCTTTGAAATGATTGTACCTGAAGATTTGATTCAACACCTTGTAATTGCCTTTCTCATTTCCTTTTTCTACAAAAAAAAAAACAAAGTATCAATTTTTGAGGGGGAGAGTTACTCGTTTAACGTTTCATATGCTGGTTGGACATAACATATAGTCGTTGTGATAATCTAGGTGTGCTCAAGCTGACACGACTCTACTAGTCATAAAAAATATACCTATTCAACAAGCTTCTTGTTTCAATTGGCTTCCTGATTTTAGATGTTTCATATTTGTTACAATTCTGATGTTTCATCTTTGTGTAATGTACTAAACTAGACAATGAGATTTGATTTCGTGACGAATTCAAGAATCCATCATTTGAGATCAATCAACAGCAAGAACTCCCACATAAACCTGTTTGCCTGTGACAATGTAAACATAAGTTATGTACGATTAACAGCTCCAGATGAAAGCCCCAACACGGATGGCATTCATATAGGATTATCAACGAACATAAAAATTTCAAGAACCGTGATTCAGACAGGGGATGATTGTATTGCAATGGTTACTGGAAGCAGAAACATCGAGATCTCGAATGTTACATGTGGACCTGGACACGGAATCAGCATTGGTAGTCTAGGTAGAACCCCTGGAGAAGTTGTTACAGGGATAAACGTGCGAAATTGCACATTTATTGGTTCTCAAAATGGTGCAAGGATAAAAACTTGGGCACCTTCTTTGTCAAGTGTTGCTTCTGATATATTTTTTGGTGATATCTACATGGAAAATGTCCATAATCCCATATTAATCGATCAACAATACTGTCCAACTCCTTCTTGCAGTGATCAGCTGGTATGTATGTGTGATCAACACATTTCAAATAACTAATATTCATCTACAACTGAATTACTGAACCGTATTCATGTTTTTTCAATGTTGTATAGGGACAGGACAACTCGAAAGTACAAATAAGCAACGTGACATTCAGTAACATATGGGGTACGTCTAGTTCAAAAGTTGCAGTCACATTAAAATGTAGCAAATTGGTGCCCTGTAAGAATGTGCAGCTTGATAATATCAACTTGAAATACCACGGACGAGGAGGACCAGCTACGTCTTCATGTTTGAACGTGATTGGTGATTCGTATGGAAGACAATCTCCTCCTAGTTGTTTATGATCGAATTTGAATTTTATCGATTTCATTTTCCGTTGGTTAAAAAATAAACTCAGGATGTATAAACTAGTATCAATGTTCCATAGGAATGAAACAGAATTCTGCTCTCCAAAATGTGATTTAGTTTTTCCTTCAAAAGAGACAGGGGAACAACTGTGTTTACAATACTCTGTTACTGTTGTTGAAGTACAATTGAACTTTATAAAATTAAGTACTAGTACTATAAAATATCAAAGGTTATTAGTATTATTTTTTCAACTTCAAACTCTTTAACTAAAATCTAGGACTTTGATAGAGTTCTTCCAGGTGCCCATGAATAAACCTCAGCCCCATTAGTAATTACACTTTGTGGTAAGCCATAGATATCGGGGACATCGACCTGATGACGTTGGTGAGTCTTCTGGTAATGTTGATTTTGAGCAGCAGTGGAAGGAACGAGATCATCATCGTCTAATGGCAAACGATCAAACGTTGCATTCATGAACGTTGCAGCCATGATGACAACTGGACCTGAGGCGATGAGTGCACCCACCACACCCCCACCAATTACCTGGCCCTGAGCCCCAGCTAAGTAAATTGTGAGCCCTGTTACCCCTGGTGGAGCAGGTGGTGGTAGGACTGACCCGAGTATGGAGAGGATTTCAAATCGTCCATGTAATGTCACAATGGATCCTGATGTAGCTGGTTGACGCAATGTCACGTTTGTCACGCACCCTGTGGCGCTCAGCACGCATATCCCTCGTTGCTTCCTCCTCGCGAAATTCACTAGGCTTTCGTTCACATCACACCCTGAATTTACCTCCATCGCGTGTGCTCTCAGGGCGTTAGCACTGTCCCTTGTGATTATGATTGGTGGTTTCGGCTTGTTCTTCGAGCCAGCTGGCCTGCCACGTGGACGTCTCACGGAGGAGTCCCCATCCCGTACAGGCACCGATACTTTTGCAGCCAACATTAAGCCACTTGTATCACCTCCAAGATTGTTGTTACCAATTTCTTGATTTTGGCTTATGGTCTCTTTGGTTACACATGAAGCCATTTGTTTTGATTGATTAAACAGAAATTCAAGAGAATACAAAGATTTGGATTAAGAATCTGTGTTTATGTAGGGGGATTTGTGGGATATAATTAATTGAAGAACCAAAAAGAATGACTAAAGATTAGGAGATAGTTAAGTAAAACTAATTATTAATATAGTAAGTATAAATCATTGTCATTTTAGTTTATTCATCTATTTCCTAATTCTCAACAGATTACTCTTTCATGTTGATTGCCTTCACAAACATTATAACCAATATTTGCCTTAATTGTACTCTACTTAGCTCACACTACATTGCAGAAATTAAGTGTAACAGAATTCATATAACTGCAAAGTTGATTTGCTACATATAATTAATATTTCATATAGTCACTCAATTATGTATTTTTTCTTAGAAAGTCACTCTTTTCTCAGTGTCAATCCTATACTTTGGGAGGATGCAAATTTAAGTATTACATGTAGTTATCAAAATGTCATGATTTCACGTTCACTATGTCCATGTCAATAAGTAATTCGAAATATCTCCGACTTTTTTAGAACAAGTCAGAATCAAATAGCAATGACTTTTTCTATACTAACTCGGAACAACCAAAGACTCGGGATATGTAAAATACATGATTTCCAGTTCTAGCTGAATAGGGAGGGAAACAAATATGTTCAATTAAAGTGAGTAACAGAATTTCATACTCGATCTTCTTGTCGATAATATTTTCTATCTTGATATTTTATATACATCACTTATGAACATTTTATTTGGGGTACAAATATAATTTCATAAATAGTCAAACTTAATTATCAAATAACAAATAATTAATACTTTAACAAAGAACAGAACAGTCATTCGAATACTAATTAATCTAGGATGGCTTTTAGTAACATTATTTAACGAGCAATTATATACAATTTTTCTCAATAATCCATAAAAGAATTTTGTACTAATATTTTCTTCTATCCTTATAATCATGTATCATCCTCTAATATAATTTAAATTACGTATACTTCCTTCGTCCTAAACAAGTGTTATCTTAGTAAAAAGATTTTGTTTCAAAAATAAGTATTACTGTAGGAATTTAAGACAAAAATAAATACATGTTTTTTCAATTATATCTTTATACTCCATCTTCTTAATGGTGTTCAATTTTTCAAGAGACATTTATTAAATAAAGATAGTTTTTAGTAAACTTGAAGCAAATTATTAGTTTCGTCTTTGAATTATTGAAACCATCCGTCTACCTGACTAACTAAACTTAGATACACTCCTGATCTCTCAAATGACATAGCAAGTGGTAACAAACTCTTGTAGAAGCATAATGCTCTTAATAAAAAACTGAGAGAAGTGTTGAAAACATTTCTAAACCTGACGAAAATTTAGGGGTATATTTAAGTTCATTTAGTCAAGTAAATGATGTTTTTAAAACTATCAATAGTTCGAGAATAAAACTAATAATTCACGCTGAGTTTAATTAAAAATATTTTCAATAACATGACACTTATTTTGAAACGGAGAGACCATATCTTCTTAGCAAAAGGAATCTCTTTGAACCACAATGTCAAATAGTGGCCCCAAATTTTCACATTTTCATTGACCTCTAAGAAGCATTAAAGTCTTCATGATAAATTTACCTTTATCCCCATTTTTCTTTTGGCTCAAACCTCGAAATATTTGCCTGCATATTTTCAATTATGAAAAAAAGAGTAAGGGTGGTAGAAACGGCGCTATTATTAATTATTATTATATTATTTTTATACTATAGTCACTAACCACTATAACTCTATAGTCATTTGTAGTCTTCATCAAATGCTTACCTCAAATTAAAATAATCAAATCCAAAGAAAGAACCCAAGAATTCACTTTATTTGCACATTATAAAAAAAAAGCCTAAAAAATATATTCCTACTAGTTTTTAAAAAAATAATAAAAGACCCCTAAGAGCTTTGAATCAATTGGTCAAAAGTACCTCCTTAGACTAGGATTCTAAGAGATACTTGTGATCAACTTTAAATAGTTTAATTTAATGTGGGAGCAGTTGCCTATTTGTGGTTTTCCCTCCAGTTTACAATAAGCTTCCTAAGATTTACTTCTATCCGATTCAATTTGTTTATCTTATTTTTTTAGTCTTGTTTAAAGATCTTTTTTTGTACTTTGAAATTTCTTTAATTTCAATTCTCCATGTGGTATGTTTAAAAATTGAAAATTTTAGTAGTTTAGTTGGTGAACTACCTGAACTATTACCTTATTAGTGAGGGTTCGATTCCCCACGTTATAATCCCCTTCCCCCACCCCCATTTTCTTTTATAAAAAAAAGAAAGATATGTATAAAATCACAAATTAAAGAATATTTAATGGAGAAACTATCTAAACACAAACATTTCTATCATTTTTACTAATATATCCTATAATTTGAAATAATTACATTTAATCTCACTAATTAATAATTTCATATCATATTCAAGTCAGATACACTTATATACATGCTTTTTTGTTACCAGATACATTGAAATAGGGAGAGAGGTGAGCGAGAACAAGAAGGGAGACGAGCAAGATTTGTCTATGTATCCCATATGCATGCGAATTCACTTGAATACGGTGTATCTAGAACAAATTACACCTAATTTTGATCTTATGTATCCCGAGAAACATGTATCTGGACGCAACAAGATCCAGTAGGATTCATAATATTTCAAACTAGCGTGTATCTAAGTAATTAACTACTAAATTAGTCGAAAATTCTATAAGTTACCTTTATATATGTTTTACTTATTATTTTTTTAAGATGATAAGATTTAATGTTTTTTTACTTACATTAAAATTAGACAAATAAACTAAAATAAGCATATGTTAAAGCCACAAATATTGCCGCAATTATAGTAAAAAGTACATATTTAGCATCTTTTCTTTTCTGCTCTAATAGAATTGTAGATAAAGTCCTTCAAATTCTACAAGACATGCAATGCTACAAAGGATTTTTCTCTCTTTTTTATTTTAAGTAAAATAACTTTTTTTTATTGACCAGGGGCAGAGAGAAGGAGATGATAACTTTTAAAATAATAATTTTGCTAGTGAGCTATTTTTAAATCCTTTCACTATCAAGAATTTAATGCTACCACTCATCATTTCTCAAATCTCAATTACCATGAAGTAACAAAAGGCCAAAATTGCCCCCATACCATCCAAAATTGTCATTCCCTACACCTTTGACACTCTTGGTACTTAGCAAATCTTATTGTATTGTATTTTCCTTTGAATGAATATAATTCTGGCGTAAAATGGATCAACTTCACGTATCTAAATTATTTCCGAAGAAAAACTAAAATTTACCACTTTAACTTCTTATTATAATTTATAAAATTATCATGTGTTGGAGCTCCTTAGGGGAATTAAGGGCAAAAATAAGATTTTTTTCTAGCGGCGAACTAATATTAATAAAGGGTAAAGTAATTCTATTTTGGATAATACAAGGATAAATTGAACAATATGTGATACTACAAACTATTTAAACAGGTTTGAACTTTAATATCACTACTAGAAAACATGAAATTAGCTACGAAATTCACTAGTAATTCCTAGCTAATCAGTCGATATATATCTCATAGCTAATTGGATTTTCATATAATATATCCATTGCTAATCCCTAGCTAAATAGAATTAACATGTAATTTTTATTATTTATCTACAAAATTTTGTCCGTCAATAGTTTCTTTAGTTTTTTTAAGTGTTGTAACAACTTCTTAGGATTGTCAATTGTAAGCAAAACATATCAATTTCAAACACAAACCTTGAGGTTCATTGCAACAAAATTTGCATTGTAGATAGATAAAACTATAAGACAAAAAAGTTAATGTATTTTATGGATAGTCAGTTAGCATCCATAGAAAAAGTGGGCCTTATATATTGCGTGAGAAAGCAAGAACCAGTGGGGTTTAATACTGAAAAATTTAAGTGCCCTACCTACAATAACTCTGAGAGCAAGAAAATAAAGTAACATATTACCAACTTTGTACTAGTTGTGTAATTGCTTTGGAGACATGAATATTTGAGACCATGTGGCCAAAAATATAGATATTATTATTTCTTCCTAAGTCTTGTCTTTAAGGAAAAAAAACATAACAATTGATAAGACACCTTGGCTAAAAGAGGTGAAGAAATGGAAAGATTAGATGATTATGTCACGTATGTATACCATGTAGTTGGTGTTTCAATGATCATTACAACAACCCAACCAAGAAATACTAGGCAATAATATACTTTATGTGTTCGTCTCATCTTCTTAGTTATGTTACTATTGTGTTCGCTCCCTTCATTTTAATTATTAATAATAGAGTATTACTATAAAAGAATAAAATTCACTTCAGATAATCACGTTTTAACTAGATAGATATGAAATGGATAAGAATTGGACCTTTTTGGTAAATTATCCAAGTCGTGGCTACATAAGAAAATAATATCTTATGGATAATTACTACACCTTATATGTTTAGCTAAGTTCATAGAGTACTTTTACATTGATAATTTCTCGTTCACTTGATTCACGTAGATTCCCGTGCAATTGGTTTCAAACACCAACTAACGACATGACGATCTCAGGTTCGAGCTGAAAGCGACGTATCAAAAAGAGTTCAAAATATTTATGATTTTTTTTTTTTTAAATTTACTATGATCACAGTTGGATCTTAGCAAAGAAAATCTCTTCCTCAAATAATAACAACGATCTTATCTTTACCAATCCTGATGAGGTAACAAATTATTCCTCTTTCGTCTCTTGTAAATTATGGTGAGTGAGGGCATATTTGGAAGAAGTGTAACACAAAGATATTGAAAGGAGACCACAACTCCACAAGAGCACATGACACAATAATAAGTGAGAGCAATAGAAACATGCATCATCACTTGGTTGGCCTTCCACCAAGTATGGCTAATTGATCATTGGCTACTATAATTTTTTTATAGTCCCATTGAAATAGGATAAAGTTCCAAAATCCAAATCACCAAACAACAAACAAAAAAAAGTTAAATTTTGAACATATCATCATCATCATTACCTTCATCACTACTTCAACACCCCCCACACTTAAAAATTTCCAAACAATTCCCTCTTCTTTTCTTCTACTCCTTCCACTTCCCCCTTTTTGTACCTTTTTCTTCTTCCTCCCCCTTGTTATGTCTCAACTTTCCTTTACTCAACTCTCTCACCTAAAATCTCTTTCTCTCTCTCTTTCTCTTTCTCTTTCTATTTCTCTCTCACTACACAAACCCCTGCAAAAGAAAAAAAGAGATTGTAGTTGTAGTACTACTCAAGATTGGTATAAATATATATACATATGCACAAAAATATTATTATGGTTCGTTTCAAACGATCGTGAGAGCGAATTTTGAAATCGCAACAAAAAACGACGAAACAAGTTAGAAATTTCAGGACAATGAGTAGGAGGATTCTCAGGAGTTTTTACATATTCATCCAACTCTGTTGTCTTCTTATCTGTTCAGGTAACAATCTTTATCTTCTTATAATAGTGATGCATACTAATAGAGTATTTATTATATCAGATAGTCAGCTTTATGAGATAATAACTATTAGTTGAATGACGAGAAAATCAAATCTATGTTTTTTTTTTGTTATAGGGTATCTTATTCTCTCTGTTTTTATGAGGCAAAATGATGCTATTTCTTATAGAGTACTTTTTTTGGGAGGTTAATTTTAATAATTCTTTTGCCCATTTCCATTTGAGTACTATTAATTATTATGTATCTTAAAGAACATTGATGATTTGATGTTTTAGTCATAATTATTGAAATCATAGGATAATTTGCATGTGAATGAATTTTTAATTTTGAATTCACTGTTTGAATTATTATACAGAGATCAAGTGATTGACTATTAAACTTTCCCCTTTTTGAAAAAAGACAATGATTATTAATTTCTTCTTTTTTGACTCTCGCATCCATCTTTTACCTTTGCTCATTATGTTCCTTCAAAATTTGAATGTCTATAGTGCCCATTTTCCCCTTGTCAAATCAAATTCTTTGGGACGGAAGTTCCATATTAGGGGTAAACTGTTCTCTAGCAAAGCCGACTAACAAACCACTTCTGATTTAGCTTAAGAATTATATATTTCTATAATTTTTCTGCGATTTGATCAAGGAAGCATAAAGGGTAGAAAGTAGTCATAATTACACGAACAGAAATAATTACATCCCAATTGGTAAAAGTTAATTGGATGTCGCTTTCATTACAGGTAAGGAATACTTCTCTTTAAGTTATATATATAATTGCAGTAAAAGTGTCCCTAGCTTAAGTTTCTTCGTTCATTATATGATGAAATAGTCACTATTTCATCAAAAAATTTAAACGATTAATGAAGAGCATACTTTTAGTCAAATTTCATCACAAAATTTATGTCTGCTCTGATATCATATTGAAGTGTGTGATCATTTCATCTGAAAAACTTATATTGTTAGAGAGAACGAACTTTTATATTATTGTTTTTGTAACTTTGCAGGTTCAAATGCTACACACAACCCCAAGTCCATTTCCAGTAGCCAAAAGGACATAACAACTCCAATAACAACAGTTCCAACTGGAACTCCTCTCACCATTACTCCCACTACAACTACTCCAGTACTGAATCCAACAATCTCGGATCCCGATTCGACCTCTAACGGTCCTTCCAATCCGGTACTGACACCATCTGTAACCAATTCCCCAACATATTCATCAGGCTCAAGCAGCTGGTGCGTCGCTAGTCAAGCTGCCTCACTAACAACCCTGCAGGTCGCTCTGGACTATGCTTGTGGCTACGGTGGTGCTGATTGCTCTGCCATTCAGACTGGTGGCACCTGCTACAATCCCAATACGCTACGCGCTCACGCGTCCTTTGCATTCAATAGTTACTATCAGAAAAATCCAATTCCTAATAGCTGCAATTTTGCTGGTGCTGCTGTTACTACAAACACTGATCCTAGTAAGCTAACTATTCCCATTAGTCCAAAACCAAATCGAAAAATTCACTCTGTTACATGCTATTAATCCTAATTTTCTCCTTAAATTCGCGTATGCAGGTAGTGGCTCATGTCAATATCCATCAACAAGGTGAATAAAGTTGTATTAATGCTTTTACCCCTCGAACCTACAATCTCAGGATTGGAGGTGGAGGGTGCTTACCATCTGAGCCCCGTATAGTGCAATATTTTCTGATTAATCTTGTGAATTGCAGCACAAGTGCATCCATTTTGAATACGACGAATTCAAGTGGTTCAACAGTATTTGGCGCTGGGCCAATCACGCCTACTACTTCAGCAGCTGTATCTCCAACTATCTTCCTGAATTATCACCACCACATTTTAATTTGTCTCGCGATACTGCTAGCAGACTATCATAACATCCTCTGAAGCCGAATTTTTACATGGCGATTGTGGAGTGCAACATACTGCTGCTCGATATACGACATTGAGTTAACAGAAATGATGTGATCAGTGATGTCAAATTGGTAACAAGTTGTTTTTTTTTCAAATCAATTTGCTGAAATGACATCTTGATGTTGCTGGATTTGTAGTGCAGCTACTTTGTTAGCTAGAAACTAAGGTTTCTTATAAGTTTTGTAAAAGCATATAGAACTGATAAATAGTTATGTGGATAAAAGAATATGATACACATTGCTTTTGTTTTGCTAAATCCAGAGAAACAGCGGCAGAGTTAGAATTTTCATTAAGAAAGTTCAGAAATACGAACAAGTCAAGATGATTCATTATCTATTATAAAATAATTAAATATACGAATATATTTTTAGGCTGGTTAGACAACATAATCTAACTTGGGAATTGTGTAAAAAGGAAGAAGTTTCCACTGACAGATTGTGAATAGCTGATGACAAGATGTGAGAGTTGCAATCTTCCTTTGCATATTGCGACCTGTAAAAATTAAAGCAAAAGAAAGAGAGGATAAGAAAAGCAAAAGGGTGATAGAAAGCAGAACTCAAATGATTTGTGGTTTAAATTTGAGCTCATTTGGAGTATATTCTAGTTTTACCGGAGAAAATTCAATGATAAAACTCATTCAAATTATAACGTCGTATTAGTTAATAATGGTATATCAGCAAGGCTTACAAATTTTCGAGAGGAATTTTATTCCAAATTTCGCAAGGATTGAGCTAGATTTGTGTATATTCTATCCTTCCCAAATCTCATTGAATTTGATTTTGCTCTTAATATTTCGAGAAAAAGGTCCAAATCTGCTCTTCATCTAATGAAATTAAAATAGAATCCGTTTTGGCGACCCTCAATTTCTGCAGGAGGAACTACAATTTCACTGATGAATTCCAACATTGTTTGTGGGAAGGGTTAAATTGGTTCTTAGGGAGATTCTCACCTCTTGAAATAGCTTTTAAGATTGAATTAAATTTAATTATGCCTACGTACTTTACAAGGTACTTTACATTGGTTTATTTGAAAAAAAGGTCAAATGCCCCCTCAACGTTTATTCGAATTTTCAACTACACACTTAAACTTTACGGAAGTACGGAAGTCCTATCACCCCTCTGTACTATTTAAAACTAAAATAATTACCTGAATGCTTAGCTGGCATAATGAGTGTATTTCACTCTCTTTGGAAGAGTGAGCATCAAAATCTATTATTAAAACTTTATTTTTAATATCTCTTTTCGATAAATATATGCATTTTTAATTATTTATTTTTCTTATTTATTTTCTTTCTTCTCCATCAATATAAACAAATCTCTCAATCTTTCACCACCTTTAAGTCTTGCTTCCACTACCATCTTCACCGGATTCACTATTGTTGATTCCAAACAAATTTTCAAACTCATATAAAACTCTTGCAAAACCAATCAACCTATATCAATTGAGAAGAATTTACATATATTTATATCACCACAAGATACATTAGATCTGATTTGAAAAAAATCAATATGGGTTTACTTTAAATCTGATTGGACCAACCGAAAAAAAATATTTTCTTACTAATAGATCCTTTAATTATCAATATCAAATCTCAATCAATCAACTATATCTAAAAAATTGTCGCTATTAATTTTGTAAATCCATCAACTTTTGTAGAATCAGTCTCTTCCTCTTTGAAATTGTCGTCGCCATAGATGATGATGTGGAAGACATAGTAGGCTCCTCCTCCTCATCTTCCTTGAGAGGATTGCTTATCTTTGGTGATCACCATTAATGATAATATTCCATCATATTCGTCTTCTCTCCCCCCCTTCACTTTTTTTTTAAATTTGATTTTTAGGTTTCAAATGAGCAAAACCCGAATATCTCTGAACGAGCTCTGAAATTATTATTCACCTTTCTTCCTTAAAGACCCAATTTCATGAACTTATGGTGTTCTAATGATGGTGAAAATATTTAGGGTGTTTGAAGGGATGAGTAGGAATATAGAAGAAAAGGGTAAAGAAATATAAAAATTAAAAAAAAAATGATGATGTGTCAAACGCGTGAAACTCACATGCCACCATAGATCTGGTTATGGCTTTTTAAGGGTATAATTATTTCATTTTTAAATAGTTCAGGGGGGTGATAGGACTCCCGTAAAGTTTAAGCGTGTAGTTGGAAATCCGGTTATACGTTGAGGGGGCATTTGACCATTTTCTCGGTTTATTTTAGGAGTGATACAATGTGTATTTATGTATCTATGTTTCAGTTTCAAAGCTTATATATGGAAAAATTATAGAAATATCACATTTTAGTTTACTTATTACCATTATCCCCTACAAGTTTTACAAATTTCCAAAATCCCTCATTTTCGCACATCAGATTAGTGTATCTCGC